CTGTCAAATAAATAAATAAAATCTTAAAAAAAAAAAATTGTGGACCGAATATGGAATGTTGGGAAGGGCTTCTTGGAGAGGGCTGCTTTTTGAACTTGGCTTTGAAAAATGAATGACAGAGAGAAAGATGGCCACCTAGGGCATGACCAGAGGAGGAGGAGAAATGGGGGAGGGGGGAGTATGAGAAGCAGCACTCACAGTCAGTGAGGGAGTAGCCCTCAAACCCATCCAAGTCCTCCTTGTACAGCACCCTGGCCAAGTCACAGCGATTGATGAGGCTGGCCTGACTTATGGCAATGAGGCAGCTGACCAAGGACATGAGTAGTGTCCCCATCATCTTTGGAGGGGAGAAGGTGCTGTCGAGGGTCCGTGGTTCTGAGGCTCTCCCAGATGTGCCGCTGGTCTTCTCTGAGTGCCTGAGGAATCTGGAGAGAGCAACCATATGTCCTCGCTCACACAGAGCTCCCCACCTGGCTATTTCTCTTTCCTCTCATTTATTATTGTATACTTGTTTATTACAGAAACCTTTAAATATTTACAAAATAAGAGAGAATAGTATCATGAATCTTCATGTACCCATTGCCCAGTGTCAACATCGAAAAACCAAGGCTGATCCCCTTCCATCTATAGATCTTCACCCCTTTTAGCTATTCTCACTCTTGTAATGGGCACCTAGCTGTGGGCAGTATTTGGGTACAGTGTGGGGGGAGAGGATGGCAAAGGAGATTAATGAGAACTGCACTTCACTGGTGTTTGTGTGTGTGGATTTGAGCATGTGCTTGCCAGGGAAGGGCTAGGACACTGCACGGTGAACTCCCCCCAACCCCACACCCCCAGATACACGACACATGACTTTTCCCAAGGGCATACCCTTCCTTGTGCAAGTCCTAGGAAGCTGTTTATGGGTTCTACACTTTGATTTCCACTCAAAGGTGCATATCATAAAGCAAGTAAAAGTGACCTCACTGTAGAAATAACCTTCACCTTCACACTCTCTCTGTGTAGGGGGAGGAGTGAGGAGCAAGGGCTCTGGATTCACATTGCCTACTTTCAAAGACAGGGCTGCTGTGTGACCTTGAACAATTTACTTGGGTCTCTCTGGGCCTCATTTGTAAAAGGAAGATACGCTAATACCTACTTAATAAGGCTGTCAGGATGATTAAAGGAAATACGATCTTGGTTTTGCATTTCCCCCAAACAGGAAGCAGGACTTCTGGGGAAAAGGTCGATTCCTAGGCTGGAGTAGGAAAGGGCATGAGGTAAGTCCGGATTATCTTGTGCTGGAAAGTAAGGAAACACTCAAAATATGGATTGGAGCATGTCAAATGGAGAAGAGAATCAGCTCCAAGGGGCACCCACTGGCCAAATCTGGAACATTATTTTTGGTAACAGCTTTATTGAGCTAAAATTCACAATACACAATTCACTATGCCATACCATCACTTCACTTAAAGTGTACAATTCAATAGTTCTTTAGTGTGTTGGCGGAGCTTTACAACTATCACCATAGTCAATTTTAAAACATTGTCATCAACCCAAGAAGAAACCCCATACCTGTTAGCAGTCACTCCCTGTGCCACTTCCCACCTGCCTCTGGCAACCTCAAATCTACTTTCTATCTCTATAGATTTGCCTCTTCTGGACATGTCACATAAATAGAGTCATACACTGTGTGGCCTTTGTGTCTGGCTTCTTTCACTTAACAAATCTTTTCAAGATTTATTCATGATGTAGCATGTATCAGGATCTCATTATGGCTGAATAATACTCCATTGTATGGATAGACCACAGTCTGTTTCTATACTTACCATTTGATAGACATGTGGGTTGTTTCTACTTTGGGGCTATTATGAATGACGGTGCTAGGAACATTCACGTACAAGTTTTCATGTGGACAAATGTTTTCATATCTTTGGGCATATACCGAGGAGTGGAATTGCTGAGCCATATAGTAACTTTAAGTTTAAACTTTGGAGGAACTGGGGAACCTGGGTGGCTCAGTCAGTTGAGCATCCGACTCTTGATTTTGGCTCAGGTCATGATCTCAGGGTCGTGGGGTGGAGCCCAGGGCTGGGCTCCATGCTCAGCTGGGAGTCTGCGTGAGATCCTCTCTCCCTCCACCCCTCCACCCCTCCACCCCTCAAATACATAAATAAATAAATCTTAAACTTTGGAGGAACTGCCAGACATTTTGGCTGCGCCATCAGCAGTGCCTGCGTATGAAGGTTCAATTTTTTTCACATTCTCACCAACACCTTCTGATCAAAAATCTTCTAATCTTAATCCCTAATCGGTGTGAAGTGGTATCATGTGGTGGTTTTGATTTGTATTTCCCTGGTGCCTAGTGACTTTGCAGGTGCTCATTGACCATTTGTAGATCTTTGGGAAAATGTCTAGTATTCAGATCCTTTGCCCATTTTTCAGTTATTTGTCTTTTTATTATTGAGTTGTAAAAGTTCTCTACCAGATACATGATTTGCAAGTATTTTCTCACATTCTGTGGGCTACCTTTCACGTTCTTGATGGTGTTCTTTGAAACAGAAGAATTACATTTTGATGAAGACTGATTTATCTATTTTTTCTTTTGTTGCTTGTGCTTTTGGAGTCATATCTGCAGAACTAATGCACAATGGTTTCTAAGGTAGTCTGGGACAATCTGACCATCAAAATAAAGATAGTGATAGATTATAATCTATTGAATGAGATAGGAATCCATGAGTCCTTAAGAGTAATAAATAGACACATAAGGGGGATGGGGGGACTCTTCCTGACAATAAAAGGGTGAGTGATAAATGTGGAGGTAGCCGTGAAGTTGGAAAATCATCATTCTACTACCATCGAAGATTGGTTTGAGCAAGAATCATCAATGGATGCTAAATCTGAGGTGGTGGGCAGCTTGATGAACTGGATCTACGCATGCTCTCGGAGTGTCTCCCCACAGATCCTATATTAGTTGCATGGGAAAAACAGCAACCATGCAGCAAAGAAACCGGACAGGTTTTGGAACCTGCAATCAAAATTAACACCACCAATGAAAGACAGAGAAAGATCATATGCCTCTAGAAGTGATACCGTAAGAAGGACACATACCGCTTATATAGTATTCTGGCCAGGGATGCATAACTTGTATCTAATCCCAAGGAAATGTTGGACAAAGCCAAACGGAGGGAAAATCTATAAAATAACTGGCCTCTATTCTTCAAAACTGTCAGTGCAATGAAAGCAAAAAATGGGGCTATTTCTGTCAGTAAGTGTGTGTGTGTGTGGGTGTGTGTATCTTTCCCCTTGAACTAAGTGTATGTTCCCAAGGGCAAAGGCCTGGGTTCCTCCATCCACGGGCTTCAGAGTCAGGCAACTTCTGCTTGGACAAGATGGCTACCCTGATGGCCTTGTTACCTCGCAGATATCTTCTAAGACTCACTCCATACCAGCCTGAGCTTGTGAACTTTCTTTTGCTTCTCTCTCTCACCCTAGAGTTGCCAGATTTAGCCAACAGAATTACAGGATGCTCGATTACATTAGAATTTCAGACAAGCCACCAATAATTGTTTAGTATAAGTATATCTCATGCAACCCTACTCTACCCTGACTCCATAGGTTCCTTCAGAGACAGCTGTCACTGAGCCTTGGGAAGCAGGGAGTTCTATCTCTGCCCATGAAGTCCCCTCTTGGGGTTTCCATGGGGGAATAAAGTCCTTCTGGCTGGTGCATTCCCACCTCCCCTTCCAAAGCGTACCTTTCTCCTAGCCTTCTCTGACCCCAGGTCCCAGAAAGGCCAGGGCTTTCCTCGAGAGTCAGTAGAACAAAGTCTCTTCCACATGAGCTATACTCTAACCCCGCCCAGTTCACAGCTCCCCATGTTCTAAAGAAGGTGGGAGTGCTGGGCCAGCCTGCCCTCTGGAATCCCAGTTCTGTGACGTCATCATTCTCCTGGAAATACTCTGGTCTTAACCATGCAAACTGAGGCCCATTCAAGCTTCCCGCAGAAAGTACAGACGGGTCCGGAAGGACCGGTGATAACTGTGATGAAGATCACTGGGTGGGGCAGGGCAGATTGCTCTGGTCCTGCTGGCTGCCCACCTCCTTTCCCTTCAGTGAATGGTACTGCCTTTGTGGGGAGCTCCTTCCCCCGTGGGGGTAGTAGTGGAGACTGCTGGTCACAGGGCCCTGTCTTCCAGGGGACAGGGTGTGCCTAGGGCCCCACTACTGCATTTTGAATTGAAACTAAGGGGAGGAGCTCAGCTTCCCACGGGAAGCCTTCAAGGGTGAGGCCAGAAGCTGACAGTGTGGAATCATGTGGATACAGCCCATCTGAGAGGATAAACCTCCCCGAAGAGGGAGCAGAGTCCAGACAAGATTCCAATCCTAGAGTCCACCCTTTCTGAGACCTAAACACACTCTCGCCCTTCTTGCGATCCTACGATTCGTTAAACGTCCCTTCCTGCAGAGGTGAGTTTCTGTCATTTGCAGCCAAGAGAGACCTGCCTGGTGGAGAGCGTAGGGTTAACCCTCTGGGAAGTGGTGACCAGACAACCTGTCATCTCCCCATGAAGGTGGCCCATCTTAGTGTCATTCGTCACCAACGAAGTCTGAGAGATACTCCCACCAACTGTAGCAGAAAGGAGGCAAAAGAAAGTTCTGTGACTGGTGGCCACTCTACCCTCTGAAACTGGAGGGCAGGGGCTGACGGTAAGAAGGTAGGAAGAGCTTTTAGGTGGACAGTGCTGCCCTGTACTTCTGTCTCCAGACTCCCCTTCCCAGCAGGGCAGCAGGACATTGCGGCTTGGGCTAACAGTATTGGAAGGAGGGGTGCCTGGGTGGCTCAGTCTGTTAAGCATCTGCCTGGTTAAGCATCTGCCTTCGGCTCAGGCTCAGGGCATGATCCCTGCTTCCTGGGATTCAGCCCAGCATGGGGCTCCCTGCTCAGCGGGGACCCTGCTTCTCCCTCTCTCTCTGCCCACCCTCCCCCCGAAGCATGTGCTGTCTCTCTCAAATAAAAACAAAAAACAATGTTCGAATGAGTAATAAACATATACCTAATTCATCAATGATGATGACTAGTCTATGAAATTTATTTTTCTTCTTTTCCTTTCAGCAAAATCACTAATTACATTACGATTACAAAGTTTTTAAAAAATATTTAAGGACTAAAAACACAATTGTATTCAAAGAACAAAAACGTAAATATATTTTCATCAAAAATAGAAAGTTGCGTAAAAATGTTTTATTAGTTTTTTCCAATGTTTTCCCCCAAAGTTAGGCTTTTTACATATTGGAAAGTATCTAATAACTCAAAAGGCAAAGTACACATGAGTATTAATAAATACCAAATTTTTGTATCAAATAGACACTACTTCAAACATATGATTCTACTCTTTAAAAGCTGAATTAAATTTCATTTTATTTTTTTAAATTTTTAAAATTTATTTATCAGAGAGAGAGAGAGAGCGCACAAGCAGGGAGAGCAATAGGCAGAGGGAGAAGCAGGCTCCCTGCTGAGCAAGGCGCCCAAAGTGGGGCTTGATCCCAGGACCCCAAGATCAACCTGAGCTGAAGGCAGCCACTTAACCGACTGAGCCACCCAGGCGTCCCTGAATTAAATTTTATTAAGTAACTTAATTTTTACAATTTACCTTAAATTTTATTTAAATTATACACTTCATTTAAATTTTTATTTAAATATAAGTAAATCTGGGGGCGTCTGGGTAGCTCAGTGGGTTGAGCGTTGGACTCTTGATTTTGGCTCAGGTCATGATCTCAGTGGGATTGAGCCCTGTTTCAGCTCTGCTCAGCAAGGAATCTGCTTGAGGATTTCTCTCCCTCTCCCTCTGCCCCCTGCTCGCTTGCACACTCTCCCTCCCTCTCTCTCTCTTGCTCGCTCTCTTTCCCAAGTAAATCTTTTTTAAAAGTAACTTTTAATTAGTTAATTAATTATTAGTAATCTCTAACCCCAATGTAGGGTTCAAACTCATGACTCCGAGATCAAGAGTCAAATGCTCTAACCGACTGAAGCCAGCCAGGTGCCCCCCCAAATAAGTAACTTTTTCTTTTCTTTCTTTCTTTCTTTTTTTAAAAAGATTTTATTTATTTGAGAGAGAGAGCACAAGCAGGGGGAGAGGCAGGGAGAGGGAGAGGCAGAAGCAGGCGAGCCCGATGCGGGACTCGATCCCGGGACCCTGGGATCATGATCTGAGCCGAAGGCAGACGCTTAGCCAACTGAGCCACCCAGGCATCCCAATAAGTAAGTTTTTAAATGAAAGCGTTAAAATTCATAATTCTAGCATTCAATGTCCATCTCGCTGCCAATGTAAAGAATTAGTATTGTTATGTTTAAAGCCTAGATGTATATACAAATTTGAGTAATGTGTAATGTGATTTATGTGATAGTGCAAACATTTCCTCAGCTTCCATTTACAACGGAGGCAAATACTGTACAAATTCATGTGTACCCCCAGAACCACGAATAGGCACATGAAGCAAGGAGAAACTGTACACTCAGTACTACTAGAAAAGGACATTTCTTTGGGTTCAAATCTATTGCATTCAGGCCGAGAGGAAAGATCTGACAAGTTCATTAATTCGTCTTTTCTCTTACCTAAGCACTTTTCTGCTCAAAGTCTCTCTGCAATCCGAGATATTACCTAGCAGGGGTCCTGTTAAGCTTTCATTAAACCTTTCCATGCAGATGCATTCCCCATCTATCTAGAGTAAGATGTGAAGTATCTCTCTGGGGCCTGAACATTGTTAGTCAAGAGCGTGGATGTTTAGGGTTCGATCTAGCTGTGTCAATGCTGATCATTTAAAAGGAAACATGCCTTCCTGATGGTCAGCCCTGTGAGAAATAAATCTTTCCACTGAGCTGAAATCTGCCTGTGTCCACCCTTTCCGCCCACTCTCAGCCCCCATGCATCAGGCCACTCAGCATTTTACCCTCGGAGTGGCCAACCCCTGGGCTTTGGAGCAAAGTGGGTTCATGTTGTAACTGTATGTATAGGTGAAGTATCTGACTACATCTTTATGTTCCAGTGTGATCATGCCTGAGCATTTACACAGAACTCACCCATTATTTTATTACTTTCCTTCAGTTTCTCTTCTATTTAGGGCATTATTATTGGTGTTTAAATTTACCACCTTTCTGAATGGATAAACACATTGGGGTACACTCGTATAATGGAATACTACTCAGCAACAAAAAGGAATGACCTATTGGTACACACAACAACATGGGTAAATTTCAAAATAACGCTGAAAGAAGCCAGACCAAAAAGAAAGAGGCATATACTGCATGGTTCCATTTATGAGAAACTCCAGAAAATGTAAACTAATCTAGAATGACAGAAAGCAGATCAGTGTTGCTTGGGGATGGGGGAACAGGAAGGGGCAGAGGGAGGAATTACTGAGGGGCACAAGGAAACTTTTGGGAGTGAGGAGATGTTCACTATCTTGATTACGATGGTGGATTCAGGGGTATATACATATGTCAAACAAAATCGCACACTATAAATATGTCTTTAGTATATGTCAATACCTGGGTCAGGTATATTACAGTTACACACAATACAATTTTATGAAAAGGGAGTTGTAGGTCTGTCACGGTTGAGAACCCCCAAGTCAGGCCGATGCGGAAGTGGGGAAAAACTCTGTCATCGTCCTCAGGCCAACTCGCTGTGCAATCTATCCAGTGGCCACTAGAGGCCAGCAGCGGCCCATATACAGGAAGTGTGGGTTGCTGGGCACCAACGTTTTTAATTTTAATGCTGGGAGGTTAAGTAACTCATCCAAGGTCACAGAACTAGTGGGAGGTAGAGCAAGGATTTGAACCCAGGTTTGACACCAACGTGGTGGGTTTACTTGTTACTCTGTACTGCTCATTTTAACAGCATTGTCTTTCTTTCTCTTTGGGGCTGGGGTCTTACTCAGTTTATGTGTTAAACTGGTTGGTGTTGCTAGCAGGTGGTGGGTATTTCAGCTGAACCTTCTGAAGATAAAGCTCCTGGTGTTTCAGGAGAATTTTAAGCATTGCTGAAGGTCCAGGAAGGAAGTCTTCCCTCTTTTTTTGCTGAGCATTTACACTGTGTGAGGCTCCGTGGTAGGACTGATACTCTCATAGTGATGGTACTTGAAGGGCAAGTGGGCAGAGGCCAGCACCAAGGAATCGAGGGGTAAGTGACCTATAGCCATTCAGTGCATGGTCCATTTGTTCCCATAGGACTGTGTCAAGAGGCAGCAGCGCCCCACTTCCACTGGAGTCCTCAGCAGATAACCAGACCTAAAAGAACTCACCAGAACGCCCAGTTATCAGAACAAGGTCAAAGCAGCCAGTGAGCAGATAACTCATGCCCATGGTTCATGGGTAAGTGAAGTCCTCCAGAGGTTTCTCTCCTGAAGAAAACATCCCACCTGGGACCACGCAGCTTGATCCTCCAAGGGAGATGGCCTCTTCTGTTCTAGGTTCTGCAAGGGCCAACAGCTCTGGGCTTCTGCCCATCCTGCTGATTTTATGCTCCTATGGCCACATGGTGGGGTGGATACGGGTACCAAGGAAAGGCTCCCGGGGCTGCCCATGTGAAGACAAAGCAAAAGGAGGCCAAAGCTAAACATTGGGTCCATCGGTTTCATTTCATAGATGGGGAAACTGAGGCCCGGGGAAGTGAAGGGACTCGAGTGAGCTAATGGCCGAGCTGGGGGTAAGACTCCCAGCAGTCTCTTCTCCCCACTCCCAGTCGTATTTCATAATAGGTCCCTGCTGCTGGGTGCTTCTCTGTACTTTGTCAATTGTTATTCACATATCATCTCTCTGTGTCTTTCTTAAAACCATAATCCTTTAATATCATAACATATTCATTATGCAAATTTCCAATGTTGTCATGTCAAAAAGCATTTTCTTTTTTTTATTATTATGTTATGTTAATCACCATACATTACATCATTAGTTTTTGATGTACTGTTCCATGATTCATTATTTGTCAAAAAGCATTTTCAACAGTCTGATACAATCAAGATGGAAATAGATGCACTCGGTTGTGATTGGTTGATGTCTCTTAAATCTCTTTTAATCCATACGTTCCTCTTTCATCTTTCTCTCTTCCCCTGCAACTTATCATTGAAGAAGGCGTCATGTATCCTGTAGATTGTCCCGAGTCTGGATTTTGACAATTGCAAAGCCATAATGTAGCTTAGCGTATTGCTCTGTTTTCTGTATTTCCTGTATTTGAGTCTAGAGGTTTGATCAGATGAAGGTTTGGGTTTTGTTTTAGGGTTTTTGTTTTGTTTTGTTTTGGGGGGTTTTTTTGGCAAGACTACTTCATAGTAGGTGTTGTGTTCTCCCACAGGAAGGACATAATGTCTAGTTGGCCTCCTTCTTATGACATTGGCAGCTCTTGATGCTCAATGCTTAGACCCGCTAATTCCCTGGGGGTTAAACATGGTGACATTTCATCATCTCTTCTTCATTTATTAGCTGGATTATTTCTATAAAGAGAAACTTCCCTCATTTGCTCTCAGTTACCCAGGGGATTATCTCATGAATTCTGCGAGGATTCTGGGTACATGTGATTATCCCCACGGCGATGCGAGCACACTGAAGTCAGACTGGTTAAGGGTGCTGTCATCGGAACTGTCCAGATGAGCTCCGGTCAACTCATGCAATCATAATAAATAAACGGGAGTTGCTTTATGGCCCCAAGTCAGGCAGTAGCCCGTGAGCAGCGAAGCCAGGCCGAAGAGCTCCGGGGCCCTTTCTCCCTTCATAGGAGGACAGACCTGCCCGGAATCTTAAACATCATCCAGTTCAGCCTTGTCACGTTTAGATGGGAAGCTGAGGACCAGAGAAGTGCAGGCTTGCCCGGGTAGCCAAGGTCATGGGCATATTCTTAAAGGAAACCCCGGAAAATTCTTGTGATGGGTTCCAGCGCTGCGTCTGATATTCTCATTCTATAGCCTGGGCTTGTACCCGCTGCCCAGGACGGCCTCTCCCCCTCATCTTACTTACTGTTGGGTCCCCAGTGAGTATCTGTTGAATGAAGAAGTGCAGGTCCCATTGTCTTTATATCTCAGGAACTGGCTGCCCCTGGACCTGTCCACTGGGGAAGGTATTATAGGCACTGGGCCTGCAGTAGCTGTCCAGAGAGTGGCCAGGCTGTCAGGCACAGGGCAGGAGCCCAGGGTCAGGGGATGAGAGGGAAGCAGGGCTCACTCCAAGAAAGCAACTGGAGTGACAGGCTCTCCTCCATCCTGGCAAGGGACAAGCCCAGCGACACAAAATCCTGCCGGCAGCACGGATGGGGTGCACCAGCAGGTGGCAGGGTTCAGCCCCTGAGACGGGGTGGGGGGCAGAGCCCCAGTCTGTAGGAGGAGCAAGCCAGGACCCTCATTCTCTCACTGGATGGGAACTCAGGCCAAAGATCAAGTCCGAAGCCCTGAGCGTTAGGACTCCGTTGGGTTGACAGGAATGGAGAACCCCAAATGTTACTGGTTCAGATAGGGTAGAAGCTCATTTCTCCCTCATGTTAAAGGCCCTGAGGGAGTCCGTTCACAGCCAACAGGGTGCTCCATGGGGCAAGGAAGATGGCAGAGAGAGAGAGAGAGGACCCCAGCTCCCGTCATGTTGCTCTCTTATCCTCAAGCATTTCTTTTGCTCCATGGCACAACATGGCTGCTGGCACTCATCCTTTCCGTGTCATATTCCAAGTAGCGGGAAAGAACAGAGGGAAAAGAAGAGCGCTCTTCTTCTTAGGGCAATTCCCAGAATTGTGCAGACTACTTCACTTACATTCTATTGGCCAGAACTGAGTCACGTGATGACATCTAGCTGCAAAGGACCATGGGAAATAATCGTCTTCATCTCACACAGCCGTGGGTCCGGCTGAAAACCGGAGAGTCTGTAAGTGAAGACCAGAGAACCCGTGTCCAGTGACTCGGATTATGCTACAAGGCAGAAGTGAGCAGAGGACTCACGGCTTGGGCCCAGGAGGTGCTGCGCTGTAGCTGCTGACCTCCCTGCTGCCCTAAGTCCTGGGACTTGGGCTGTGTGGGGTTGTATGAATCCAGCTGTGGGGAGGGGGAAGCTGTAGCCCCTAGCCATGGGGCCTGATGAGTACCTCCGCCGCAGGAACAGTGGGCATTCTGGAGCTCAGCATGGCACCAGCCCAACGAGACTCAGCGGCAGCCAGGAAACAGATGCGCTCATTGCCAAAGACAGACGCACACTCAAAGGCCAACCACTGCTTGAGGCTATGAAAAGCATCCTCAAGATGATGAGTCCAGAGCCCCAGACTGCACCTTTCCCCAGGGGACAGGGAAGTAGCTGATGACAATTGCCCTTTTTTATTTCCTTAATTAAATTTCTTTTTTACTATAGAATAACATACACATAGAAAAGGACGCAAATGGTAAACGTACAACGCAACAATTTTCACAGAAGTGACCACACCCAAGTCTTCAGCACCCAGATTAAAAAGTTGAACATTACCACCACCCCAGAAGTCCTGAGTATCCCCTTCCAGTCACGACCTACTTCCCCTGCCCCCAAATCCACCCTTCCCTCCCCACTGCTGACATTTAGAAAATCTTTCCAGGCGATTCCATAGTCGATGCTGAGAATCACTGCTTTTATAACAACGCGCTCTGCAGGGAGTATGCTTCTCCCTATCCTTTTGCCCCTCCCCTTGCTTGTGGTCTCTCCCTCTCTCTCCCAAATAAATAAAATAAAATTTTATTTTAAAGAGAGAGAGCATGAGCAGCGGGGAGAAGCCGAGGGAGAGGGAGAAGCAGGCTCCCCGCCGAGCAGGGAGCCTGATGCAGGGCTCGATCCCAGGACCCTGGGATCATGACCTGAGCCAAAGGCAGACGCTTAACCAGCTGAGCCACTCAGGCGCCCTCAAACAAATAAAATCTTTCTAAAAAAACCCAATGGTTATCCAACTTGGCTGCACATTAGAGTCACGTGGGAGAATGTCTGCCTTTTGAAGTAGAAGCCGGGACGGAGACAGCTAACTAAGCAGGCAGTGTGGTATGGGGGAGAAACTTGGGAGCCAGACAGGGCTGCCACTCACCAGCTGTGTGACCTGGCAGGGGTTCCTTCACCTCTCTGAGCTTCACCTGTGGAATGGGAACACTACCACATGCCCTGCAGAGCTGCGGCTGAGAGAGAGAGGATGTAAGCCCAGGCCCATGCAGGGTCAATAAATGGCAGACACTACTGTCATGTTGATTAAAAGTGAGCAACCCCAGGAAGACTGAAAGCCCTTCTTTATGCAGGAGGGACCCAATCTGGGGAGAGGGGACGCAGGTTATATGGAGAAGAGGGTCAAGAGGTAGTGTTGATGAGAAGCCGGGGTCTTTCTGGGGAGCACGGGAAAATTCCAGGGGCGGCAGCGATTCCAAGCCAGAGCCGTTAAGTGGCGGCTGCCAACAGCACCAGGGACCAGCAGCTGCGGATGAAGCTGGACGGGCCCAGTTTGGGCAAAGCCAATCCTTTTCCTTCAGCAGGCATGAGGAAGCTGACCAGCTGCAGGCTCTGACTCTGGGAGCCGCTTATGGAGAAAGAAGCAGACTTGGTTGAGCACTACCTTGTGCCAGAAATTGCACCTCCATGCCTTTGATCCTGTGAGGTGGGCACCCTCATCCCATTTCACACTCGAGGGGGCTTAACTCCGGCTGCCTGACTCACAGAGCCCTGGGGTCGCCACAAGCCTGGGACCTGCAGTGGCAGCCCCCCCACCCCCCCGCCAGGGCGTGCTGTATACACACAAGACCCAGGAACGCCTCACTTGATTAAGTGCTCATCTCCGTAGTGTTGGTTTTTGTGTTTTTTGTTTTTTTTCAAAACAAGAAATAGGGGCGCCTGGGGGGCTCAGTCGTTAAGCATCTGCCTTCGGCTCAGGTCATGATTCCAGGGTCCTGGGATC